TGGACAGCAATAATTGAGGACAGTTGAATGGTCACTTTGAATGCTACATCAATTACATGGCATTTTTAATTTAACACAAATGAAAACAAGTGTGTGAGGGAAGCAGATATAGTTTGTTTAGTACGTCATAGCTACATCTAAAAAAAACTCACTAAACATTATTAACAGCTAAAGATTAGATGTGACATGTGACACTCGCAAAAATAGGTTTTGTTTAGATTATTATCTTTTGTGTTCTTTCCTTTTATTACCTTTCCTTTTATTATAAGTTAAATACCATTGAGAGAATTCACAAAGCGCACAATGACATGCTGTTTCAAATAACAGACACTAGGTGGCAGTACCTTTCAGACGCGTCACTCTGGGACCCTTAGCGAGGCGCGGAAGAAGACGAGTTCATATTCCGGTTGAATGGAAAAAGACCAACTGTTGTCCCGTGTCTCTTCTAACCGAGTCATTTATTCAATATTTCCAGGTTAGTTTCACAACTTTTATATGACTACAAAGGGTTATAATCTAATTTGAATCCCCAGTGATGTGTGTTTGACAAGCGAAAGGTTTTTTAATTGTGTAAATTGTAAAGTCTAAAGAAAACTGTGTGACGATGACGGATGAGGAAATGGCGGCCGATGCCTGCACTAATGTTTCCTTTTATATATTACTAACGGCTCGGGAGATTTCTGAGTTATTACAGTGGATGTGTAAAGTAACTGTGTGTTAGACTATACGTTACACGTAATAAATAAAATGCTAATGTACAGAGTAAACGCAGTTTACAGATGTAGTTTTGTTTGGGTGAAACGCACGTGGTAGCATTGAATGCATACATGTGGTAACATTAGACTGTAAAACAGTTTCAGTTCATAGAAATCTAGAGTAAAGGAGACAAATGTTTACTATTGAAGTTTGGTTTTGTTTAATGTAATTTAATTGAACTTGACCTAACTGCAAATGGGATTTATTCTGTTATATTAAGTGAACATTTAAATGTATAATGTAAAATGTATAATGAATACAGAAATACTCGTTTAATGAGAGATAACAGAGAATGTGGTTTAGGGAGAAAATGTGAAGGTTGAGGAAATATGTGAAGATACATTTTTGTGGAAAAATGTACGTTTTATGGAATATGTAATTTCGTGTTATCCAATTGTGGATATTTCCTGTGTTTCAGTACAGAGCAACCAAAAATAACAGTAATAATTCTTTATTGCAGAGTAAAGGTTGAAATGTTGTAAATAAAATGATACATTCCGGTTGAATGGAAAAAGAGCAACTGTTGTCCCATGTCTCTTCTAACTGAGTCATATATTCAATATTTCCAGAGCACTTCGACCAGGAGTATCAATCTGCTAGCGGACCCCTGGCTGGGACCCGTTACACGTACAATACGACCAGGTTTGCACACAATAATGCAACATACTGCATGCTTCACAACCTTATTTTTGTTCACATCAAGTTATAGTGAGTACATAGTCTAGTTTCTAAGCAGACTTACTTCTACAACAAGATATTGGTGACAACAAGTGCTATTTTTTTCCATGGTAGTGAGAGCAGATGCAAAGAAACAGAGATGTGAGGGTGTGATTTGGTTTAGCTTTGATAAACATATGACGCTTTTTTATACGACTGTTATTTTCATGCCCTACAACCATGTGAAGTTGATGGGAGAAGGTACTGTGAAAGTATCACTAAAATATGGAACATGCTACAATACTCACAAACTCAAATTCTCTAATTAAATTTCAGGCCACAAATAACTAATAAGGTTTTTTTTTTTTTTTTTTTTTTGATGCCACTGAATCTGGAAGGCAATAGAGAGGTAAAAGCAGAAATAAATATGAAGCTGTGGAGCAGAGGTAGCACCAACATATAGAAGCTTTGAGTATTATTTAAAAAAAAAAGACATACTGTAGGAGCAGAAGAAAGCAATAATGAGACAAGCATTTGTTTTATGTCCTGTGACTGACTCTTAGGCCCTGTTTAAACCTGGTAGAGGAGTTTTTTTCAAATGGATCACAAGTAGACGAGGGAGACACATCCACAGAAATCCACTCTTCTCTGGATGTAATTTTTTTGTCAAGTAATTTGAGAGTTGCATTCAAAAGGGGAGGGCTAAGATAATACACTCAGCTGAAAATTGCATTTTTAAGTTCACTTATCTGTTCTAAAAATCCATTCAAAACTGTGATGACGTCACACAATAGCAGAATGCTAGCGTGTTCCGGCCAACAATGGCCTAACCTGTAAGAAATCGAAAGGACATAAGTACTCGTTCATTCAACTTTTGGCCTATAATCTATATTGAACTTGCGGTATCAACAATAAAATCTATGTTGATTCTACGACAAGCAGGAGAAAGAGACACATTTAGCCGTTTAGCTCCGTAGACTCCCATTCATTCTGTACTCGCCTGCCATCACCTCCAGTGGAATTCTAATGGAACTGCAACCAAGATGATACACAATAGGGCTGATAGGAAGTGCCAAGGCTCTCTGTTAGAAGGGCTCTGGTGATGCACAGAATCGTTGGGTGAAATGTCATAGCCATGTTTTATTTTGGATCAGAATCAAGGACGGGAACTAACTGTTTTCTAACTGAAATCGAAAATAATTTGAAGAGTTTCTGACTTTACTTTGTGGGAAACTTCAAAAGAAATAGAAAAAAAAAAATGGAAAACAGCATTTTAGCACCAGAATACTGTATTTACAAAAGTTTAAAAACTGAGCTGCAATGCCACACGTGTGTGTGTGTGTGTAGCTCATCATAAGCAGCTCATCAGAGGTCCCATGAGCAGGACCTGCTCTCTGTCTGCTCACTCACTCAACTCCAGCCATCATAGAGTCAGACACCATTACCGACCACAAACACTAACCAAGTCTTAGTTCCACTTGGAGTCTGTCCCACAAGACCACCTGCCCCTCTACAGCCCTACCTGCATCTCTAATGATCCTTAATGAGTGACATCGCTGCAACCTGAGTCTGCCATGCACAACAACAGTGACTTTAGGAAAACAAAAGAAAATAATATGATGCCATTGTTGTACATCATTGTCTTAAAGAGACAGTTCACCCCAAAATAAATGAATGTCAGTGTTGTCCGATGTTGTTTTGGACCATATTGGCTTTCATTGTATTTACAAAATGTCATTGTACAAAAACAGTTCTTCAAGATATCCTGTTTTATGTTCCATAAGTTTTAGTAAATGATGATGGAATTTACATTTTTAAGTAAACTGTATAAGAGCTGTAAGTATTTTAAGAATTTTTTTTTCTTCTTGAAATTCCTTATGAATATAATAATAGTTGGCATATAATAAGCGTATATAATAAATAGAATAAGCAAAATAATTGTTGTTGGCACATAATATATACAGATTAGGTCTTGTAGTAATTTGTTAAGAAAGCTTGAATGTGTAAAGTATGACCTTAACTAAGGTAAATAACTAAGCACTTTGAAAAAGAGATGGATAACATGGTCCCAACTTTCAGAATTTCCTAAGACTACCACAATTCATATTTTAGATCAGCAAATAATCAAAAATAAGCACCAAATAAGCCAATAATCAAATGGATTTGAGCTTCTTCAACAGACACGCCAAATCAGATGTTGTAAACAAAGACCCTAGGACCTACATTCCCTCCCTACCACCTTCCTCTCTTTAAATATGCGCATGTAAAATTGTGCCACACACACACACACGCTTTTCTTTTGAAGAATGAAATTTTCGCTTTTCTCAGTCCCAGGGAATTTTACGAAACTGAATCAGAACACTTGATCTGACCACCCACTGATTTCTGATGGAAAGATTTGCTTTTTAATACAATCGTCAGTCGTTCTGCCACGTGCCTGGCCCAGACAAATCCCAGCAGTGTGTCTTCTTGTACTGCCACAGTGAAATGTCTCATTCTCCATCGGTTAAATACCACTCTGCTGTAATCTATCATGGTGGAAATGTTAATAACATAGTCCTCTGTTTCAGCTGAGCTTAAATATGACACATTTATACACATTTAAGACAGATGACATGTTTTCAGGCCGTGTATCGATGAAAATATATTTCGAGGTGTAACTGATTGACAAGATAAAAACATCAGAATCCAAACTAATGACTGATATAAAAAATAATCAACTTCTGTTTCAAGCTATAGAATCTGTTTTAAAGAGAGCATTCTGTCCTTTCATGATTTTAATTAACACTTTAATATGCAAATAAGATAGAGGAGATAAAATCATGACAAACAGATGGCAAGTGAACTTTTTCTTTTCTGCCATGTTCTTAAGTTGCAATATCCTTTTTTTTCCTTTTGCAACGATGTGTGAAGCAGCAGCTCTAAGTGATCAGCAACAACTTATCTTTGCCTAACTTCGATGGTAACTTCTGTCTTTTCAGTTAAACTTCATTGATACAGAAACACGAAATGGCAAAAATTTAAAAACTGAGTTTGTTTGAACATCTTTACAGTAATAATTGTGATTGTAAAATCCACAGTATCCCCCTATTCCAATGGATTTTCATCATTAAACTAGGGTTGGGTAGAAGCTTATTTTTTTTGGATGGGTTAAGAAAGTTCAGAAAGTTTGACTTTTGTTTTTGGGTCATCAATAGATCATACAGAGGTATACAAAATGAATTGCCAATACTCTTTTACAGCCCTAAACAACTTTGTGACCAGTGAACCAATGAATGATTTCATCATTGTAATCATTCATTGCTTACAGGATTTACTGGGCAGATTTTAATTTTGTTAGATACAAATCTTTTGAATTAATTTAACATCTATAGTTATTAGTGTAAATTGATATTAGTTAATAGTTAAATGTCTCCAATAAAACCCTAAAATATATACACACTATACATTTTTTCATGATACTCCGGTCCTAAAATCTACAATTTCAAAAAGTCTCTTTTATTTTCAATTTTGACCCAAGAACCATCTGTATTCAAAATTACTTTACTACACACTGAGATAGTCAGGATTATTATTAGACACCTCACCTTTTCCTCTTTCACGTGTTGGTCCAAATCCAGTCTGATGAGTGAACGGTTGATCTTTAAGGCCAATGAGAAAGCCATGAGGCCCCCAGCAAGCACATGATTCTGCCGTACGTCCAACCGCTGGATATGTCGACTTTCTGCAAGGATCTCAGCCAAAGTCACAGCACCTGGCACCATGGGTAGAAAATACAGGCTTAGTTATAAGGTGAAACAGAAATAAACTCCAGAAAAAAAGGAAATCTATAAAGAGAGAATGTGCCAAAGAGGTAGAAATTTAGAAAAGCAATATTACGAACCCTACCCTCGCATGTTATTCCTGTGGCAGCTAGGCCAAGTTGCAATAAAGAGCGATTGATCATGAGGGACTCCTTTAGCGTGTGAATGCCTCTGTTCTCAAGGTTGTTTTTTCCAAGGTTTAATGTTTCGAGGGTTTTTAAGTGGGGCTGAAAAAAAAAAGACAAAACAGGATGTTTAAGAAAACATGCACTGATGAGCTTGTTTTTAAATCACTTTTTAGAATTCAAGTGTCCTTTTTTCTGTGCATTTGAATCCAATTATGGATGGTGAATTTGTGTCACTTTGAGAGCTTTAAGTGTCACACACCGTGGCGTGGCAATAGATTGACTCTCAAGAGCATATTAGCCGCGTCATTTATGAGGCACGATTAGCAGCCATATAAAGCAGGAGATAGCGGAGCACATGAGGGAAAAGCCATGTTGCGTAACAGAACATACACTAGGCCAGCTCGCTACACTCATTATTCTCACTTAGTCTCCAGCTTTAAATGAAAAAAAAAAAAACAAAACAAGCTCACAGATCAACTAACAGTTCATTTGCGTCACTGTTACAATACTCAAGCATGTAAACACCCACACATCGACATATACAGTAAATGTATACAGACACAACCAACAAGCCCAATCAAATATTAAGAGAAAGAAAAACTAAGAAAATGACATTTCAAATGTAAAACACATAAAATTTCAAAATAATTTAGTCAAGTATTGTTTTTTTGTTATCGGGTATATTTCTTTAGCTATAAATACAATACAACTTTACGGGATAGTTCACTCGAAATTTCTGCCATCATTTGCCCACCTTCATGTCGTTCCAAATCCGACTCTTTTTATTCTTCTGTGAAAGTTAAAAGAAGACATTTTAAGAAATGTTGCAGTGGTTTATTTCCATTGCAAGGTCAATGGGTTTCAAAACTGGTTACCAAGATTCTTCAAAATATTGTATTTTGTGTTGTGCAGAAAAAAAGAAAGTCAATCAGGCTTAAAAAGAGGTGAAGACGAATTTTTGTGAGAACAATATATCTGTAATTATATATCAAACTATATAGTTTAGTTATTTAAAGTCCAATTAACTACAAATACGCAAATTATTGTTAACATAATAAACGTTTCAAGTTAACTGAAGTAGCGTCATTCTAACAGCCTATGGTTGAAAACTTCAGTCAACCGATCTCCAATTGGTCAGACAAGGATCCACTGTAAAATGTGGATAACATTGTGATTTAATTATGTTATGCTGACATCAGAGAGTTCTGTGTCTGCCCAAATAACCCATTTATTCGCTCTCTCTTCTTCTGCCTTTAAAGAAACCCCAGGGGAAAAAAAAGAAAGAAAGGTTAATAACAACCCTTCCTGTGTCATATTCGACACGACCAGCCATCGGACTAATTATATTCATTATGGCCGCATGGATGTCTACTTATCCTTCTTAATGACAGACCACATGAAAAAGCCCTCTAAACACATATCTATTATTTAATCAAACTGTTCCCATTTGGTACAGGCAAAATAGAATGAGCAGGCTTTATTTTTGGCCTGAATGAATTCTCTGTGAACACGCCAAAGGCCGAGAGAAGAGAGAGCAGGCCTTTAATTTGTAGCTTTTGATTTAAATCGCCATTCAGATGACAGAAAGGTACAGTTTATTCTGACAATCAGAGCTGCTGAAGAGGAATAGATATTATTAAGGATTAGAGATGAGCTTTCTAGTGAGGATGAGACAAGCCATTTCCTTTTGTTCTCTCTGTGTGTCAAACTCCGCAATAGTAGACCACACACACACAAAAAAAGATCCAGTAGCTGTCATGTTGACGGTTTGGGTACTTCCTCTCCAAAGCCCAGCAGAGGCCACATGCAGTGTTACTTTTCGTCTTTAACCAAAGCCACACTCGGATAAAACAGGAATGAATTAATAGCTGAAAATCATTGTATTTAGTATTATGCGCAACCCGTAGTTTATTCTATATAGACCCACTCAAAAATGAAACTTCCCTGGACATCTCACTCTTTTCCATGTAATGAAAGTAAATCCGAAATGGGGCTGTTGAGATTTCCAAAGCCCCATGATGGCTTTTTTGTAAGGAACAGATTTAAATTGAATCATTAAACAGTGAAATCTTGACATTTGTCCATGAATGAATCATTCTTTTAAGTCAGATCTTTCCAATGATTCAACTGATCCAGTTCACACACCCAGTGTGAATGAATCCGACTGATTTGGTTCACTGGCTCAGTGACCTGCCACACAAAATTATGAGTGAATAATAATTTCAGTTTTTAAGTCACAAATAGCTACTGTATGGCTTCAAATGACAACAAAACTTGTCAATAAACTAATTTTAATGCTATCATGGTGCTTTTGCATCTTTTTTTTTTATCTTGACACTTTCAGACCCCATTCATATACTTAAATAGAAATGAGTGGATTTTAGATTTCTTCCAAATTTCTCTTTTTCTGTTCCATACAGGTTTGGGAGCGTGTAAATGATGGCAGAACTTTCATTCTTGGGGAACCTTTTTTCTTTAAATAAAACTGTGAAAAGAATTTGTGAAAACGCTACTTCCCGATCCACAATCTACCAGATGTGATACTTATTTTTTTTTTTACTCCTCTGCTTTTTTTAATCACACTTCGTAAGTCTAGAAGTGCTGTTGTAATGATTAAAATTGCACATATCTCTATTATCTTGCCCGAGAGAAAATCTCACCAGAACATTCTGTAAATGGCTCATGCCACGATGAGTGATATGATTGTTACTCAGTATCAGCGTTCTCAAACCAGTCTTCTGAAACCTCAAAGCATCACAAATCTCCTCCAAACCTGTGGAACAAAGAGAAATGACTACACAAGAGCTGAAACCAATTGTATAGTTGAACCACAAAAATGGTTTTCAACCGTGCTATTGGAAGAGCACAACACAACCTCAAACAAAATGTGTGTACCTGAGTCAGACGTGGCATTGTTGCTTAGGTCCAAGGCTCTAAGAGTGTTGTTGTATTTAAGGAGGTCTGCAAGTTGCATGGAGTCCTGGTAGCCGTTAAGCTTGTTTTCAGAGAGGTAAAGCTCCTGCAAAGCGCTGTTCCTTTTCAGAGCACCGACTAGGGCAAGAATTGAGAAAAATCTTCGATAAGCATGGTGCTTTGTCCTTCTCTGAGATATGTGTGCCAAACAAACTCTGCCACAGTGCAACAACAAAAAGATGTCATGTAAGACAATCTGGAAGAAGAAAAGAACGAAGAACGAAATTCTAAGAATGCCCACAGCGGTTCACCCAAATGACAACAAAGGCTTATTGAAAACTTTGAGGTTGTATAGGACTAACTCCATTATCATTTTTATTTACATCGCTGTGATTATCACGGTCATCATTTTAATCGTCAACATCATTATGTGTCCCTTTTAGGGCCAGAGAAGCTTTCATGGGCTTTTGTCTGTGGCCTCACAGAGCTGTCTGTCCAAATCAATGCGGCAGATTTGATCAGACCCTTTCGGTTGCATGCGGAATGCCAACATCGTCATCTTACACAGTAGGAACCAAACAGGGGGATCGTTGAATTGATCGGAGGGACTCCACTGTGCGAGTCAGCAAGTCCCGCAATCAGGGCCCCACCGATCAATAGCAATGATCAGAAGCTGGGCGTCCCGCTGGGAAGAATGAGAGGGGCGGCCGAGCAGCCCCAAAATATCAAATGGATCCACTTGCCGCTTAAAGACATAGAGCCATGAAGACATAGGATGTGCCACTCCACTCCTCTGTCTCATTTAAGGTCATTTCACTTGGGTTATGTTAATGGCCTATGTTTACAACATCACTTTCTTTATCTTTCTTTTATCAAAGTCATTTTCGGGGGAAGTCATTTCCATTCAGACATTAGCGTGATGTGCAGTGACAGCACACTGTTTCTATGCATAGTCTGATGACCAAATATAAGTTGCTTATATACTGCATATAATACTGTATCCCCATTTTCAAGTGGAATTACCATGGTACAGTGAATAAATTTAGCCACGTTTTTTTTTTTTTTTTTTTCATTCTAGAAAATAAATAGCTGTTTAATTTGTGTATTATGTTAATGTTTAATTGAAGAATTGCAGTAACTTAAAAACAATACATTTAAAAATATATATAAATGAAAATATAATATATGCACGTTTTGATGTTTTATCAAAATATCTCAATCAAAAAAAAAAAAAACTCAATCAAAATGTATCTCTAACAACTTTAATTTGTTTAATTGGGAAAAACTAATGAACAATTAAAAGATATAGTTCTTAAGAGTAATTTGTTCATGAATCAGACTACACTGAATGTTTCTGCATGCCATTCATGAGGAAAACTCAAGAAATATGTTTCGTTGCAATATGTTGCTGTGTAGTCTTTTTATCTCTTCAAATTCAATTCAGATTGTAAACTCATTCAGAACTGAAGTAAATATGATTTGTTTGCCCTGGCGATTGAGCAATGTTGAAGCAATGCAGAAAACAGTGTTCTGCACAGAATTCAAGTTGTAAGCAAGTACATTACATAGCAATAGCTTATTATTAAATTATAAAATTATTTTAATGGAATGTAGTCAAGTTTAACCAGAATGCATGGCTTGCAGGTGTTTTTTTTCCCCCCAGACTATACCTCGGTCACACACCACTTGCAATGTAGGAGCCCGTTCTCATCCCAAAGCGCCATATAAGACGCTTTTGCAAAAGCGTAAATATCCAACACACATGGCACCCTTCTCCATGATCTAGCTATGTTATTTAGCGCCATTGCTAGTCACACACAATGCATAGGCCTATGTGGACATCTTCATGGAAGTCAGTTTCTGCCTCATCAGTAAAAAAAAAAATAATAATATTTTGACCTACAAAATACAATTTCACAATCTTAAGGAAATGCGGGGTAAAGTCAAATGTATACGAGATATTCACAACTGTAATCAAACAAATTTTTAGATCGCAAATACCTTTCTTAATTTAATTTACATGTTTTAATGACAGTGTCCTTCACAAGCTTGAAAGGCCGCCACATGTCTGTAAAAGCTGTGTCTATAGTCCTGTGTCCTTTTAGGAGACAATCTCTATAGTGCTGTGGGAAAGACTCCATCTCACAGTGAGCTGGCCAAAGTGTCCTGAATGGATCGGTGCAGCAATGTGTAAAGTGACAGGAAGAAGATTACGACATCTAATCCAAGCCCAGTCTAGCTGTTAGGGTCACTGGGCCAAAATCTGCCACTCCTCCCCTTGTCCTGCTTCATCTGTTCCTGCTGGCCAGGGACATGGAGAACGCTCATTCAAACACTTGCTATCTGTACTTTCGTATAGGGTGACCATAGTATAGGGTGAAATAATGTCTCTTCTGTATTAGTAACAAAATATATTTATATCTTTAGTTTTCTTCCTTTTTATCCTGTTTTTCTTCCTCATCCTCCTTGGTTGCCCATCTATATTTTGCTGTTGGGCTGATCTTTCCCAGCAGTTTTTTTTTTTGAAAACCAGGGCATTTTCATTATTTTATAAAAAAACAGCCAGGATGGGAAGGACAGGACATTGCACCTACTTTATGTACAAGCACTTTGGGTGTGAGCACAAAATCTGCAGGAATGAGTCAAATTAAGTGTAATTTGCTGGTGTTAATATCAAGCCCTGGTCACAAAAGAGAAGAAAATACTATTGCAACTTCCATTCCATGCCAAGTTCAATTGAGAGCAAAAACATAAAGAGTCCAATTATGTAGTTAACCCCATAACCCACAATGCACCTGTTAGCATAATCTGCATTTCACAGCACAGGGTCAATATTCTCAGGCACCAAGCACCCAAACTTTCTTCCATTGTTAGCTCTCATACACTTCAATTGAATGGTGTGTGCTGGGCATACCAAGTGTGAAGAGAGGTTTGCCGCTCAGGCAGGTGTTTTCAAGGTGCAGCACTGTCAGCCTGCTGGTGAGAAGGGCTTTTGACAAGGCCTGTGCGGCGTAGTCCACCATAGGCACGTTGCAGGCATCCAGCCTCCACAGGCATCCACTCTGAAGAGACCAGACAGCAAACCATCAGAGAGAGAGAGAGACAGAGAGACTCCGAGGCCTGGTTTTGCCCTCGCTGCGGACTGGCCTCTCTGTCTCACCCTCTCTCATCAAAAGCCACCCTGTCTACAGAAGCAGAAACGTCAAAACCAGAAAACAATTCTGACGGGAGGTTCCCAAAGATCTGCAGGCCATTCCGGAGTTTCATCCTATAGTCCACCACTTCAAAAGTGTCCAGATTTTTTTCTTCTTTCCCTTTCTTGGGAGATTTTGATTGATCTCAAATAATACTGCCTGAGAGCGTGCCTTTGGTTTTTACCATTGAAGTCCTCATCACCATGAGGTGATGCTGTCTTTCATCTAAGAGCCGTTCCTAAATGAACACATATTGTCAGGAGTTTTATGAGGACTGTAATGATGTCCATTAAAATCAAAGTGTGAATTAAGCTTTATTCAGCAGTGCGAACATTTTCATCTTTGATGCATGCAATTCATTGCTTCCAATTCAATTTGAATACCACTGTGAGGTATTGGTTCACATAAGGTATGACAGTTAATGACACTTTTAAAACACAAGGTGTGTTTCTGAACTTGAAAAAAAGGCAACGTTCACATAGCGTTTTTTATTATTATTATTGATTAATTAATTAACCTTTAAAATAAAATGGCAAGTTGCCATAACGTATTATCTGGATTTAAGATTCAATAAATTTTATGTTTAAAACAATATATATATATATATATATATATAAATATTTAAAGGAGTTCAAAATTAAAATCGTTATATTACATGGTTTAAATTCTTCGGTTTATTTTGTTTATGAACCAATAAGTCTCTTTTCAAGTATTAAACATTCACAGCTTGCACTGAATTATTTAATTAAATAATCATTTTAAGTAGCCTACTAATAAAACGTTAAAACGTTTTAGCAGAACATATTATAACAATTACATATTTCACAACCCATTGGGCAGTAGGATTAGATCAGATGTGCAGTAAATCTTACCCGTCGGAGGAGGTGTGACAGTGAAAGCCAACCTGAGTATCCCATTCCTGAGTTTGAGGACATGTTGAGGTGCGTAGCTGATTCGTAGTACAAAAACATATCCAGCAAAGATGATGCTCCCTTACATAAGAGAAAATAATAAAAATTAATATCAACAAGTAAAAATAATCCTGACATAAAAAATGTACATTTTGGACGTTTTTGCCGCGGACTGAAAATCTGGCATCTGAGTACGTTTGTCGGCGACGCGAATTCTGCAGGGCACATCGCTTCATCCCGACCACTGATAAATACACAGCGCCACGTCAAAAGTCATATTTTACCAGAGTGTCAAATCCTAATTTAATGTAAGGATATAAAATCATTGGCTTCAATATCTCATGGAAAAGAGGTTTTCCCCTAGCGTAAGATATTACGCAGTACTTGTTCCCTCTTCTAGAGAGAATCGAGGTTAGTAACCCAGTAGGCCTATGTTATCAATATCATCTATACCAAAGCAAAGTCTCAGTAATTCTTTAGATGGGTAAATGTACTTTAAAGTGTGTTTCTTTCACTTTGGGAGCTATAAGAAGTGTTGACTCAAGAAGATATATTGGAATCATCAAATCAAGTTATTTCTTTCAACGATAAATCGTAAATATATGTTAAAGTTTTATTATTGCTCCTGCATTCCTTTTTAGCAAAACTTGAATATGGGTATGTTTAATAGGGAAAAAAAACAAACATTTTGAGCAAAAAGCTGAGAAAATCACGTTTTTTATCAAAGAGCAGATCGGATTCAGAATGATGATCAAAACATAGATGGAGCAGGCTAGATTGAGTCCATCAACATGCCCAAAGCTTCACAGTCCAACACTCCTGGGTCGACATTAAGAAGTTTTGATAGGTGCTGTTTAATATTGATGATCACGTTATTTTACATATGTTTCTGCTTCTTTTTCACCTGTGTTTTGATCAGGAGATTCTCTTTCAGAAGATGTATAGCGCCCCCTACGATATGTGTGAAAACACAGAAAGCTGGAAATTTCCGTCAATGATCGGGAAAGCATTGTCTCACAAATGACGGAAATTCCCATCTAAGGCCGACAAAAGAGTTAAAAGCAATTGTTCATATACTTACATTTTCCTCCAGCTCGGCCCCCTGCAGGCTGATAAAATCAAATTGCACTGATTTCAGGATCTCTTCAAGAGATTCACAGGAGCAATAATCTAACCGTTCACCTGGAAAAGCAATCAGAATGGAGATACCACTTTTTACATATACGTAAAAAGGGGTGTCACCCTGGCCTGGACAAAGTGTCAAGGGCATTTGCTGTGACAAATTATATTCAGCATTGGATAAACTAACATACACCTAGAGAACAAAATATCTGCCCCTTCAAATAGTGAGACATATTAGACACTAACACATAACACGATCACGTCTGATCCCCTCCCTTTAGTGGAGGAGACAATCAAAGAGCTTCTGATTATGCAGGAACAGATGACTTTTAAACAAAGCCCTGAGAAATACTTTGATGGCCACAGCAGTCCGTCTATATTAGACACGCGTTGCAAAGGCCCCCTTCCCCTCATAAACTCTTATCTTCCTGGTCGGGGAGAAGCCAGATCGCTCAGAGCTGCATGTTGGGGATATAATAATTTATTCATCATTAGCATAATCATTTGTAATTTTTTTAACAACAATCACTTAACTGTACCACAGGAAGGGGGGGGGATCAGAAATCCCATTTTTCTAATCCCCTCTGCCATGTGCAGATAATGACACTGAGACTTAGAGTTAGATGCCATCAGTGTGCGACTAGGGCGCAGGAAGCCAGAACATGCTGACCCGCACATCAAGCTCACATCTACTGGTATCAATAACCGCTGTTTCAGTCATCAAAGGGACAGCACATTTTAATCCCAAACTGCCCTTCAGCGTCAGCATGTACATTTCAATTAACAGGCTCGTCAAAGTTCTGATCTTATCAAGTGTGGTAGCTAAAAAGTAGTTGCTGTTCACTTAAACCACACTTCAGGGATAATGGGAATAGGCTATCTTTACAGCTAAGCAACTTAAAACACACATACAAAATACATAGTTTAAAATACACATGCTGCAAATATATATTAGGTTAATCAGCTTGATTAGGTTACATATTTTGTTTAGGTTGTCAATATGACAAGAGCTTTCTGAAATACTATTTCCGTTTAGTCAATTGTGGCATTCAGTGGAAAAAAAAATATTTCCTAATAATCATCGCTGTCCATGGCTATTTATAATTCTATATTTCAGACCGCTAAAACTCAAGAAACTCTAATGGACATTTTGGTGAATTGTTGGATAATCCGTATGAAAATTTCATTCGTACGTTTTTATGCAATCCGCGTATGCCCCACTGACAGTTATTTTAAAGATGGATCTTACTGCTTTTTTTTTTTTTTTTCTTCGCATGTGTCCGTACAAATCACATCTTAAAATCACTACCTCATACGTTTTCTCATCAGATTGGGTTGAACATTTTTTTTTATTATTATGCATATACTTTTTATTAGAGGAAGCTTAATTTAGCTCAGTCAGTCAGCATTTCATTTCTGAACTACTTTTACATATTATTTAGTGTCAACCAATGGCATGGGTTTGGGGCGCACTATTATTCGGACTTTGCAGTCCCGCCTCAAACTTACGTCATAGGTTTGAGACAATGTTGTCAGGATGCTCATTTATGCTATATACCTTGTTTCGTCTTAGATCAAAAGTGAAGGGTTTTTGGGCCAGTGTTTTACTGATTCATTGTGTTTACAATTCTGAAAGAAAAAAAGCAGTTATGGCTACATATTCTAATGGCCCCATAGTTTCCATAGATTCCCAGAACAAATAGACCCTATTTTAGTGAAGCACAAAAGGGCAAATTACCTGAGTTTTACAACTGAAGAGAAGATAAACAAAACATCTGATTGCTAAAATGCATGTTTGAACCTTCCATTATGTTGTCACGGTTGGTGTGCATCTCCTCCCAGAGTTGTGTCTATGAATTTGAAAGATTCTCTGTTTGTTTTAGGATCGCGGTAGAGCGTTTACAGCGGGTCAGACTAGTGATTCAAAATCGTGCTGATGGAAAGAAGAATAAAGCTGGAATACCTGGATGGATGAAGGGATGAAAATCTCAGGTGAATTGATAACACTGGGGGGATTTTTCTGGCGGTGTTTATAGCTTTCAAGAAACAATAATGCTGTTCAAGAGCAATAGCAAAATAATAAATAGTGAATTATTGAACTTACCTGACAGGTCAAAACACCTGGCTCTGTCGGTAACACAAGTAATTTGCTGCATGAAAAAGAGACAGACGAATCAAAATCAAGAGATTTCTGTACTCGGAAAAGATTTTCAGGGTTTCAGTTTTTGCCATTAATGAATATTTCAAAATGTAAAGCAAGAATTATGAATGTCACTGTAAAATGTTTGGGTTTAACTTAAAATATGATTCGTACTGTATCATCTAAATAAAATTGATAAAATAAAATAAAATATTTATTATATAACAAAACTGTATCAACCTGACCAAAAGTCAAATTTAGAAAGAACATAAAAAAAAAATAATAATAAAAAAAAGACTTTTCCTGTAGGCCTATGTGGGGGGAGCAGGTCCCAATTGTTATTGTGTATTTGTGTGATACAGCAGGCTACCAATGAGCTAATGCTAAAGTATTTTGTGAAGCTCAGCTATACAGACACCATAATATACCTCAAACAAAATGTAATCATCAACATTTGAAAGTGACATGGCACAGTTTATGTAAATTTCTAGTACGTCACACAGCACAGATCATTTTAGCTCAATCTGGCAATCTAGCCGCTAGACTGTAGCTAGCAGATGGCAGTTAGCATCTATCAGGCAACGGACTGATGAAGTCCCTCAGTCAACCTGCTGTAAACATGAACAGGACGTCATATGGGATTTTGCGTTTAGAGCAAAACAAATTAAGCATCGCAACGTGCGAACGAACACTCTCCCGGTTGAATGTCATTCTGAAAGAAAAGTCTCAACAAGGATGACTTAAGGCCATGGATTTGTACCTCTCTTTCTTTGTTTGATGTTTTCCATCTTAATAAATGTGGAAACTTCTGAAGCCCATTGCTGCTAAGCAAGGTTCTGTGCTGTGTATTGAGGAAAATGAAATGACAAAGTACAAAATGCATTGATGTGTCAGGAGGGAGAGGACAAAATGAAGTGATAAAAAGAGCTCTGCTTCCTCCAGGCAGAACGGGACACAGCTTATAAACTTGACTTCCACAGACGCATCTCAAGTGCATTTCCAATTCTTCACTCAGACTCCAGGAGACCCACTCCAGCGCTCGGCAGTCTGGGTGGCTTTGTATCAGCAACTGTTTGAGAGCATATATTTCTCCCTTTTTTTTTTCTTCGTTTAATTAGTTGAAAAAATGAGTTCGAAACATTTTATACAGTAAAAGCTCTCAGGGATTAAAATCAGCCGCACATTTTCCTTTCAGCATCTTTTCTGCAATAAAGGATAAATTATTTAAAATAACACAACCTTTTATCTCACACCCTTTGAAGGCAGCAAATTAAAAATGTAAATTGGGATCTAATTAATATGCAAATATATTCATTCCCAGTTAACAATTAGCAATTAAACCTGCAGTGTCTAGAAAGAGCATAGACCAAATTAATAACTTAATTTATCATTAACAAAATTAAAATGTACACATTTTTTTTATAAAAAAAAAAAAAAATGTTACGCTGTCTCCATGGCTCTTCATCAGCAGCAGTGCCGGGAAAAAACACATTTAATAGAACAATTTGGTGCTTGTCATAGAAAATGATAAATAACTAGCCTAAAAAACAACATCATTGGCTACATGGACGGTGACTGCACAGCGTTGCATCTTCACACAACTGGGAAGGAAGTAAACATGCCCATTTCATGCGGTAAAGAAAGAAATCATTGCGAATCCTCAGTCTAGAGAGTGCAATGGACATTAAAGATTAAAAGTGTGAAAGTTATTTATTCTCTACGGTGTTTAGATGTGAGAAATGTGAAATTCTACTCCGTACTGCGGGGAGGGAGGGCAGTTATTTCACTTCAGACACTCTGTGGCTTTCTGATGAATGTTCATCGCTCAGAGCTAAGCAGCTCGACAGAGTTAGGCTGGGAGCAAGGATGTTTTTGGGGAGCTCTGCAGCACTGCATTCGCTCTAATGGGAGGACGGTTCAGTCTGAAATACAAACTTTTCACAAAATCTACGCCTTATCCTGCAGGGAGATGTGAAATGCTGAATCGTTTGATGATGCTTCCTCGGCTTCTGAGGCGAGCACTCATACTGTATGGGGCGCTTCTGTAAGTCTTTTCTCTTTGTTATTTTCTGTTACTACAATTGCCACCACCTCCGACAGGATTTGCACTTCAGTGGCGGTGACACTTCAAGAAACGTTACTCATTTACAAGCCCCTGGGATAGTAACTGATATCAAGAAGTTTCTGTGTGTTCTAAGACGGAGTGGACACGGAAAACTTCGAATGAGAAACTTCAAGACACTAGCTTATGACGCTAAACAAAGAAAACGGGGTATATATGAGGGTGAGGGTGAAAAAAAGTATTAAGCATTTAAGCTTGTTGAACTAAGGGGGCCTGGGGTCCTTCACACAGGCCTTTTGTTTGTTTACCTCTTCTATGAAGACGTAACCAAAAGCAATACTGTTTTACCCACCAACAAAAAATTAAAAAAAAAAAATATCAAAAAATAGAGAAAGCCCACGGGTACAATAACAGCTTTAAATAGATTTCAGCAGCCATCCTCTTGGGATGATCCTGCCTGGAAAAAAACCCCACCTAATTTGATAAATATGCTCTTTAAGCAGCAAATTTCATTTAGCATTCTCTTATTAGAAATTCACACGCAGTTCTCAACTAAATATCCTTCCTTTTAGCTTCTGCTTAAGCATACATATTTCAGCCTTTTAGGGGGACCACCTACATTCCTTTCAAATTCAGTGGGGTTCATTAGCGGCGTGGAGATAATGCCGAGAGTGTGTTAAATGTAAGCACTGCTAAGTCCCTCATTTTCCACAAATAATTCTCCTTGATCTAATCGTAAATTTATGCAGAAGAGAAAACTGATGCTCTTAACGTTGCTGGTCAATGTAAAATAAGTGCGGAGCTTGAATTATGCATGCATGCATGCTTGTGTGTGTGTGTGTGCGTGCGCTTCTCATTTCCTTTCATTTACCTGTTTGTTATTGTCTTGCTTTTTTAGTTCAATGAAACGTGGTTGGCTAATTAACCTGCTCCCTAAGAGGGATTAAATGTGTTTATTTTTCTTTTCATCCTCTTTCTTTCATTTCAAAGTTATTTTCACCAAATAATGTTCATTACACATAGCTATTTCAAACCAAATCATCTGCAAAAAATAAACTAATATTAGCAGGGAATGAAAGCGTGAGAAGTGCTGTGTGTTTTAATGCGCATTATTCCACTGTACCTTTAATTGATCAAGAGCCTTTGTGTTTGGTTTCACCTGGTGCTTTTCACAGCTCTGCTTGTAGGCCAGAATTATATCTGTCAGACTGAGACTGTCAGCTAAAACAGAACAAACGTATTAGAGCCACAACAAGAATATTTCATTTTTAATCCTAAAAAAATTAAATGAATCAGCTCCATGAGCTATAGGAATTAGAAAATGCAACATTCATTTTTTTTTCTTGTACATTAATTTATTTTCTTTTTCTTTACCTTATGACTCAGGATAAAAAGTCCTCACTTTAAAAAAAAAATATTGTTGGTTTAACTTAAAAAAAAAAGAAGTAACCTGGTTGCCTAAAAAATTTAAGTTCATTGAACAATTGAGTTATTACAATGAAGGAGTTTGATTTAAGTGTCAGAAACTCAAAATATTATGTTATCTGAACTACATAAATTATTTAAGTTGATTTGACAAAAGAAAAAATATTACATATCATGAAAATATTCTTTTACACTGTAGGATTTAAAAAAAAAAACAATGTATACTTTTATTCATAAATAATTGATAAATTGGAACAGTAAATTGTTAAAAAGTGACCATATAAATTTGAGCATTCTTTTCATCAAAGAATCCTGAAAAAAATCATGTTTCAACCAAAACTATTGAGCAGCACAACTGTTTTCAACACTGATAATAGTAAGAAATGATTATAAATATTTCTTGAACACCAAATCAGAATATTAGAATGAATACTGAAGGATCATGTGACACAGGGTCTGAAAATTCAGCTTTGCCATCATCACATGAAGAGATTTCTTTCAAAAACATAAAAAAAACCCTAACATATTATAACTATGTTGCTTTTGTGTCAAATGTATGATGTTTCATGAACAAAGAAAAGCACAACTGCTCTGAACGAAGAGGCCGTCAGCATAACATCAATGCCATCTCACCCTCTTGAAGTTGAACCCTGTTCTCCACAAAGTCAGACACCATCTCCTCGTCTGGGGGAAATGATACACGTTTTTCTCTGCCCTCCTTCATGGACATAGATGTTGTTTCTTCCTCTGAGTGCCCTGTCATTCTTCTGGATTGAGCGATGTCTCATGAATTTGACTAACCAAAAGTTCCATCAATATGTAGCTCTGATGTCATGTACTTCTATGTCAGACATCCCATTAGCTCAGACGTCAGTCCTTTGAACTGTAAAATCCATCATATAAGATAACATCCCCGGACACATCATGTTTCCGTTCTTGCTGCAGAAACCAAACCATTAAATGTCCTTCAAAATCTGCTTCTGTCAATTCATGTGTCTTTATTCTGTGGCCTAATAGTCACTACGCAAAAGAAAACCTAAACTCGCAGCGTAGCACTTGTACAAAACAGTTACAGGATACCACATTACATGCTTAATTATTCATGAATTATGTGCCTCTCAAAGCTAGTTGAACTATATAAGTCAACATCAAATATGCACAGGGGGAAACAGAGCCTAATATATTTTTTGAGGATTACTTGAGGTTGTAAATAGTACTGTATTAAATGTGTAGCCTAACAGTATGAGTATGACAAACTCAAAGTTTACAGTGAGTACACAAATTGGACTAATTATGAAAAGTGCTCCATAAAATGTTTTAATAAAATAAAATATATACAAATAATTGTGAATACCCAGTAAATGCCTTAATGCCTCCAGTTGACAAACTGTTGTATTTACTCTGCTCACCAGTAATGTTAGTTTTACACATTTAATGAGAAATAATTTCTGTTAAATTTATTTATGTTCATAACAGATTTTGGAGTTCCATCCCCTCCAAAAACATAACCAATTACATTATCAGGCAGTAATTCGGTACAGAAACACTGCAATACATTTACTAATCTTTAAATGTTCTGCAAAATGAAAAAAAAAAAAAAAAGTTTGGCAGCATTTTTTTTTTTCAAATTAGCCTGTTTATTATGATAACAAAACATCGTAGTTTGACTAAGTGTTTGTGGAAAAATACATATCCCATAAGGCATTGCAAAACCAGGAAATACGCAGCCCTCTTTCTAACCAATCGCGATCGCTGAGCTTCACTCCGAAGAGCCGTTTTGCGGGAACTTTGGAGAGGAAGAGCTGTTACTTGCAACCTGCCACTTACGCTCGTAAAGGTTGGTAGAATATTCTCGATCTGCTTTGATAAAGTGTCATGTCCAAATATGTTTACTAGCGGATTGTGAGTACACATTATCGGCTCTATTGTGATACAAAGCCGGCATAAGGCAGCTAACTCTGCTAGCATAGCGAGTTGAAATAACCTAGTTGATACGCAGTTTCCACCCAAATACAATATAAATAACTCAGCGTCACTTTCATTGATAATATTATGTGACATTAACCGCATGTTTATCTCTCCTAAATACTTGTGTCATTCCCAAACAAAGTAAAGCCATGCAAAGCTATTAATGTCTGTTTTTTTTTTTTTTAAATATAAAAGTGAAACAAACGGCATCATTGGCAGGACTGCAAATTGAAACCATAACTATCCCTAACCCAAGTGTCATCGTCACTGACCTTGGCATTGTAACTTAGTGCTTATACGAGAACATGTCTCATGTTGAAAGTCTGGCTATTCAATATATCAAAGTTATACGTCTATAATTATGACAGAGACACTCACCTCACATGTCTGTCACACCCTAGTCTTGTTTGCACAGGTAAGTTAGTGTAAAGTAGGCCTGTATCTCTGAAAAAGCTCATGTGTTCATTATAGGTAAAGTTATGTCCATAATCAGATATGTGAATACACTACATCTGATGGTCAGGCCTTCCAGAATGAAAATTATTTTAATTCGACCTTGTTTATTTATTTCCATTATTATTATTATTATTTAAAAAAATAAATAAAATAAAATATAATTGTAGGACACCAACCAAATGTAAGTAAATATTTAGAAAAATATTCCACAAAACACAACAGTTTATAATAAAAATGTATTTAGACATGTTGAATGTAAGTAACGTTTTCAATTAAACTATTCACTCTCTATATATAATTTAATCAAAAACATGTTGTATATAACTAGAAATAATGGAAAATAAAACTATTATCCTTAGGAGGGCTGGGCAATATGGACAACAATCTTTTTGTGTGTGTGTGTCTTAAGTGCTGATATACAGTGCATATCTCTGTATTTTCTACTTTTTTCTATTTAAATAACAAAATTATCTTTTGTTTGTTTTACTGTTATTTCACATCCTGCCCAATGTTGTCCTCATATTAAAGGCTATGAAAATAGTGATTGTAACCATGTAGGCTGATGCAATGTGTAAGATGGCGCTTGTTCCCTGAAGTCTGAGAAATTTAGCAGAGACTTGCTAAGGATTGTCCACTCCTGTCCTGACAGCAAAATGGTAATATATTTACAGACAGAAAATATACCTGTGGAAAGTAAGTTACACACTAGGACAGACACCTAATAGCAAATGCATTAAACAGCTCAAGTATCTGTCAGAGCAAGTCACTTTACGTGTTACGAATTATTTTGAAGCCCTTAATGTATAGCATCATGTTTAGGACAAATTGGATTATCCACTTTCCCCTCATCAGCTCACTCAGGGTCGATGCGCTCGTAATATCAGACTACTGTATATACAAACTGTATTGCCTCATATCATCCTAAAACATTTATAAGAATATATAGATATAACACACAAACTCCATACAATGCCTAGTCCTAAACCCTAGTGGTCCCAAATTCAGTTGTAATGATGATTGGGTTTGTCTTGTTTGATACATTTAAGAAAAATGCCACCTAAGTCCAAGGCAGGTGGGGTGAAGAAAGCGAGAGCTCCACCCAAGAGGAAACTAGCTGAAGAATTCCCACCTGGAGAAGTCCTTACAGATAATGCAAAGAAAAAATGGAAGCTTGGATCTGCTGTTGGGCAGGGAGGTTTTGGCCTGCTGTATCTCGGTAAGATTTATTTTAAAAGTATAAAGTTCTAATGCTTTATTTAGATTTATTTAACATTTGTTCAAATTTGTCATATTTCATTTTAGCTAATGAAGACTCATCAGGATCTGTTGGCACTGATGCACCTTATGTCATTAAAGTGGTAAGGGACAGTGTGTATCTTTTTATTGTTGCTAATGGTAGGTATGTGTCCAGAGTTTGAATTTCTTCGAATGCCTGTTATGTTTGGGTGGTCAGAATTCGTTTTTAATGTAATTTATCAGTTGAAGAATTTCTGTGGCCTTAACTAGAAAAAAAAATAAAAATAGAATACAACAGAAAATAATTAAATAAAAATGCAATTTTTGATAATCATTGCATTTATTATTAAATAAACAAAAAAAGTGCCAGAGACTTTTGCATGAGCATTTACCAATCACATTTCCTTGAATGAACACATGTTTACATTTTACAAGCATTTCAAATAAAATTTTGTGCTTTGTTAAAATGGTATGGATATGTGAAAATATAAGTATACTTTCCCTCTACAGGTTTTTTTTTATATGTATGGTTAATTTTTATCTTCTTTTTTTTTTTCTTAATGTCATTTATTTTTGGTACTTATTTTTACTGTGTTGCAGGAGCCAAGTGATAATGGACCTCTCTTCTCTGAACTGAAGTTCTACATGCGAGCTGCCAAACCTGATCTAAGTATGCCCTTCTGACTGCAGACACACTCTCATATGCATGAGGAGCCAGGCTGAAAAAAAGTCGAAGAGCAACTCTTTTAATTAAAAAAAGTTCTGAGCTCACCATTGAGGGCCTTATGGAGGCAGACAAACCACAACTCTCTGCTTTTGGTGGCTCTTATGGCTGCCCCAAGGCCACAATCTTGCGCTTTATTTAATAACAATCCAAATGTCAGTCTCCCTTGACAATTAAATGCTATATTACTAAGGGATGCTCATGTTTTATTCATTGGAATATTGTAATGTTGGTAAATATTTGTCCCACCAGCAGATTACCTTGCGGCACACTCACAGTTTGGTCCCTGGGGAATACTCTTATATTACTTTGAGCACCAACAAGTTTAAATAATAAGTTTTTAATTTGTTTTTCTTTATGAATTGATCATGTGATTGGTTTTAACTGTTAGTGTGATTGTCTTAGTTCAGTATTAGGTCTCACTGTAGTGTTTCTTCTTTTCACTGGGAAGTGAAATGGTAATGTGTTGTGATTTGGGTTTGTGACAGAATGTTTTATATTTTGATTCAGTTGGGGCTTGGATGAAGTCAAGGAAAATCGACTATTTGGGAGTTCCAAAATATTGGGGCTCAGGTTTTCATGAGAAAGGTGGTAAGAGGTAGGAAAAATCATAATTTTCAAAAGTATTGCATAATGAATACTTTTTTTTTTTTTCATTTTTCTTTTTCTTATAAATAAAATGTTTAGGAAACATCTTTGTGCATTTGAACGCACAAGAATGCTGCTTAAACGTAATGATTTCACATCAATCTTCATGACAGGTACAGATTTATGGTCATGGATCGATTTGGAACAGATCTACAGAAGAAATTTGAGGCAAATGATAAGAAATTTCCAAGGAAACTGGTTCTTCAACTGGGTCTCAGACTTGTAGGTTTCTTCTAAGTGGACATCTATCAGAATAAGTAAACTGCTGAAAGTTTAATCGTGCATCAAGTTATGTTTTGTTTGTTTCGCTGACAGTTATGATATCTTCAAATTGACATCTTGACAAAGCAAATATTTCATGTCATTGAAATACCCTTCACATGTCACTCGTGATTAATTTATTTCACAACCAAAATTTCCAATAATAGGTGGGGTTACTAAAATAAAATGAGCAATGAGGGAGGCCACTCTTCTATAGAATAATATACAAATAATTATTGAACATTTATAACTAATAAACTTTGTCAAAAACCTCTTAAAATGCACAGAAATCTTCAATGTGAGTGTTTGTGGCATTGCATGCAGTGAGAGAGAATCTTACATTCCAGTGTTATTATAAAATCTCATATTCTAACAAATCTTTCATCTCTAGCTTGACATTCTGGAGTACATCCATGACCATGAATATGTGCATGCAGACATCAAAGCATCCAACCTTCTTCTGTCCTACACCAACCCCAATCAGGTTTGTTTCAAGCCTTCCACATGTTTAACAGATCTCTGTTGCCATGGCTGTACAGCTCTAACTGTAGAGACATAGACAGGGTGTGCAAACTGTAGGACTATACAGAGCTCCTACTTCTTTTAATTGGAGTACCAGTGATTTGCAATGTAAGAAACTACTTGTCTTATTTTTTTTTCCATCTGTTAATGAGATTTGGGTGGGAAAAAAGCAAAACAATTTAAGCCTTTAATGCGGCTCATAAACTGGAGAGATTAGAGACAGTATTGAAGCTGTCTCTAGCAAATAAGGTTGGGGGGCCTGGGCAGGGGCAAATATTTAATTTGAAGATTAATAATGTATCAGTGGTGTATTATTAAGATGCTATTTTTAAAGTCACAATTTAAAACTCGGCCTCTTGGGATTAGTCACTGCTTACTTGGTGAGTCTGAGCATCCTTTTTTTTAATTACTTGGGTCTTTGCTTCTGAATATATGTATTTCTGTGTTTTATAAATGTGTGTTAAGTACACAGACACTGAAATGCACCGGTTGTAAACTAAATAAGACAAATGCCTAGTTATTTTTTTCATTTCAATCAGATATAGGAATGATTTGAAGTGTCATTGTATAAGAGGAACATAAGAATGCTCTTTAATACTAATAGCAAAAACTGAATTCTGAACTGAATGTAAGTTACTCTTATGAACTGGTTCTTATAACAAATGGTTCCAAAAGACTCAAACTCATGAGTTAAAGATAAAATCAGTCAGACAAATCTTTTACTAAATTAACATTTGAAAGTAATGTTAACATACATTTTAGTAAGGTGATCAATCAGTAACCACTTGAATGGATTGTAAATTCTTTTACAAAGCAAACTTGTAATTAGAGACACATTTACAGCACTTTTTTTTTTAATAAATGTTATTTCGTAAATTTATTATGTATACACTTTATAACTAAGTGAAGGATGGACATTAAAGGGTGGAAAAGCAGAACTCTTTGTACAGAATATGAAAAGATCTAGATGCAGATCTAGATTAGACTGGAAATAAAAAGGTTTGAGTCATCCTAGAGCTGCATGATTTTGGTTAAAATGAGATTTTTTTTCGTTTTGTTTCAATGTTACCATGATTTGGTACATGCAAATAAAAATAATTTACTAGAGTTTCTGACTAAATGTTAATGGCTGCAGTCTATTTAAAACATTTAATTAATCTGAATTATTCATTCAAACTGTTTATATATAATGACTAAATTATAAATACTTCACTTGTTCCATTACTGGATGTGTCAGCATTTTTTTTTTCAAGTCTGAATGATTGAATGAGTGATTTATTGACAAATATATTTTTTAATAGTCGCCAGGTGCCCATTGTAACAATGTAACGATGTAATCAATACAATCGTTATTTGAAGCGCCAAGTTTCTTTCATAAGGTAATTTGCTCTATTTTGAGCACTACCGTAGACATCAGTGACTGTTTACATGTTCACCAATAATGTGATTATTTCTGATAATCAAGGTCAATCGCAGTAAGACACAAACAGAACTCTTTACTCCAGTTAAAGCAACACCAAGTAACTTTTCCTCTGCGGTCGCCCTACAGGTTGGAAGCGGAATTGTCCGTTACTGCTGTCGTAAATAATTTAGCCTACCGCATCCTACTGTCGCACACGCACACGGCCGTTTTCTTATGTCTCATTTGGCAATCTTACATAGTGTGGATATATCAGATAAAGGATAATCCATGAGTGCATTTCACCATGTCACGACTTGATGAACCACTGAAACGATTTTGGAAACATTATTTTTAGGTAAAAAATCGTACTTTGTGTTGATTTAACATGCAATTTTCATTATTCTTATTATCTGCTATAAGTATGGTTATATCACACTCAGATAGGCATACAGTATGCATGTTTCTGGCCATTGTTTAAATCTACTAGCATCAAATTCAAAATACATTTATATGGATGTACTGGATATTATTCGGCTCTGTGATGAACATCGCAATGCCGGGTTTGCATACTCTGCAAGTTGTTGACCGAGTTTGGTGATTTGGAGAAGAGAAAAATTCAGAATAATGTTATGGAGTTCATTCATGAAGTGTGAACAACACACGATATTCGTGTAAATCTATGCACATACACATGCACACTTTGGTCAGAGCGGTAATAATGTGATTACGGTGTTATCATGCCTGTTTATGCCTGTGTTTTGCTGTTTGTGCAGTATTGGAATATCATTTATGTTAACCTTGTAGGCAGCATTCACCTGATTTAGTAAAATGGTGTTATTTTTGTACAACAATTTCCACAAATTTGTAGAGGAATTGACTACTTTGAGATAGATGACCATCCTACAAACTGTTTAATAGTTGGCAAGTGTGGGTTGAAGACATTTTGATCTCTAAACATAAACATATCCAGATGTAAAACGCAGGGTAAAAAGTGACTCTTCAGACTATATACATTTTCACCTTGGGAGGACACTTTTGTTCTTGATTATATTTCTGTGCGTTTGTCATGCAGTTTTGTACACCACATGACAAAGTTTAAGTTTAAGTAGTTTTTCTTAAAAGTTAGTGATGTTTGTCACTGTGGGTGAGCTGTTAATGTTTACTGTTGCAAATTGGTGTATACAGTTATTTTTGAGACACTACCTGAACACATCAAATAATTTTGCACTTTTTTGGGGGGGTAATAGGTGCACCTGCAATTTGTGCAGACTGTTTTAGTATCTTTGGAACCCTGTTAGCTGCTTCCTGTTGCTTTGAAATTGCTTCTATCAATGTGTTAATTGTCCTCTTATATGTGACACTGCTAATTGGCAGTCAGTCTATTTGCAGCTGCATATGTGATTTTATTTGTAGTAACCTTATTTCATTTACAAGTCTTTTTAATTTTCTGTAATTAATTTAGAAGTGATTTACATTGTTGTTGCACAGGAAAAAATTGCTTATGATTTTATTTATTTTTTTGTTTAACCCAGGTATATTTAGTGGATTATGGATTGGCCTATAGATACTCTCCTGAAGGTGTGCCAAAGGAATACAAAGAAGACCCAAAGAGGTGTCATGACGGGACCATTGAGTTCACTAGTATTGATGCGCACAAAGGAGTTGGTAAGAAATTGCAACAATCTGGTCTATTTTCACTTTTAAGTTTAGACTAGGTGAATATGACCTGAAAACTAGATTTATTTATTTTTTTTATAGTTATTTAGTAATATACGTATATATAGTTGAATAAAATGCATTGCACTTTTTTTCTGGTTTCACCTCACCCCAATCTAAACTAAATGATTATTTTGCCAATGTTTCTACATTGTCATTTAAATAAGCTGAAAAAAAAAAAAAACTGTAGTTTATTAAGGTTAAATCTTGCTAACCATTCGTACTAAATAAAATTGAGTAAGCACACTTAGATTATAATTTTATTAGGTATTCTGAGTAAATGATTTGTTTGTAACGCTTAACTAATATTAAAATCAAACCGTATTGTAAATGTTTTAGGCTAACTAACATGAACTAACCATGAGTAATTGTTACTGTATTTATTAATCTTTGTTAATTTTAGTCAATAAAAAATACAGTTGTTCATTGTTTGTTCTTGTTACTTAACAGTGCATTAATTAATGTTAACAAATACAACTGTTGTAGGCTACTGGTAAATGGTGAAATTAACATTAACAAGATTAATAAATGCTGTAGAAGTTTATTAATAGTAAATGTTAACTAACGTAATTATCTTGAGTTTAATAAATGGAACCTTACTGTAAAGTGTTACCGATTTGTTATACACTGATTCAGACATATCGTGAGTTCAGTGTTGGACAGATGAGTTGTGGCCGCCAAAAAATGTTCAATGTGGGAAAAACCCTGAATAATGTTCTTAAATGTTAATTTATTGATACTTTGCATTAATTACTACAAAAGTGGGCAACCCCTTAAAAATGGCCTCTTAAGTTAATGTTTTATTAAGTGTGGGGGGAAATATTACATTTCAGCCCCTTCAAGAAGAGCAGACCTGGAAATCATGGGTTACTGCATGATCCAGTGGCTTTGTGGCCGTCTGCCATGGGAGGACAAACTTCAGGACCCATTGTATGTCAAAGACTCCAAACTCAGGTGAGTATCTTAAACCTCACTTGTAGCATTTTGGATTTTACTTTTTTTCTGAACCAAGATGTAATCTACCTTATTTTTTTCCATTCGATATTAATGCATGAAAAACACTATTTGACTAATTCATTTGATTCCTTAATTGCCTTCAAACTAATTTCTGGATAATAATCATGGGTTAGATTTAATAAATTATAAGAAATACATTTCAAGATATTGTATGATCCATTTTTTTTTTTTTTTTTTTTCTCCTCAGGTGTAGAGACAATATTGATGAGTTTTTGAAAAGCTGTTTCACTTCCGAAAATAAACCAGGTGAGAAAAAGAACATAGCATTATTTAAGTTCATAGGAAAAACTTTCATATATTTAAAAAGATGAATGCACTTTGGTTGTAAATGATCTATTATATAGTTTTTATTACAGCAGCTTAATAGTATTGGACCTTAAATGGCACATAACAGTTTCTGCCAATCTCATGTTAATCTTGAGTGACCATAGAGTGGTGTTGCATCCTTCATATCTCCGAAGAGTATTCAGATTTATAAAAGAGAGATACGCTGTACTGTTTTTTTTCCAAAAAACTGTACAGCTCCTGGCGGTGGGCTGAGCTAAAGAGCCACGCACAATACAAAATCTCTTTATCCCTGGATAACTTTTGATTCTCTATACGTTCGTGTTGTTTACAATATATACATTTACGTACCGATTGCCAACAAAACACAGACATTTGACATTACTTACCACCTGCAATTCCGACTCATGACCGGGATCTGGACCTTCTTTCAGTTTCAAACGGTCTGCAATTCCAGAATCAAACTGGGCCTTGTTTATAAAACATTTGTCTCCAAAATGCCGGAAACAAACAAACACACTTGCAACAAACTCTGTGGCTGCCCTGGAAACACTGACTGCATCCACTGTAATGCTGTGTTCTTTGGGAAGCCGAACAAGGTTATCTTTCCCTCACAACCAAAACACACTGATTTCGTGGTCTAAAAAGAAAATGACAGCGCTGCCAACGGCTTCCGTAACCCATATTTAGCATGTTGATGGGCATTCGCTTGCTTTCGCTTTGATGCGTGCACACGCTCTTCTGGGAGAAATGCCGATACAAGGAATTCCACCTGTTGTGGTGTCATACAGGGCCTACTTGGGGGAAGAAAAAAAAAACAAAAAAAACCCCGAAACTTGTACAAACCCTGAGGGAGTCAATTTGGTCATGTGTCCAACTCGTTTTTTGTAACTTTGGCCATGTTAAGCATGAGAATCCCAACTTTTTAACAGTGTAATTTAGTCAGAATGTGAAATAGCATTAGATATCCCCTTTAAGCAGTTTCTCACAACTAAATGGCATTTAAGCATACTCGGTAGCGACCGCAGAAGCACCTGTGAATTCTGCAGTAGTATTTTTTTGTTTGTCTGCCAAGCGGTAATTGAATAGACGCACTTTCGAGCTCTGATCCACAAACAAGAGCACGAGGGCCTCTTCTCGTGGTAATGAGTGTCGACCTGCTGATTTAGCCTTAATTATATCTAATCTATCATATATAGTGCTAATTCTCACAACTTCTCACACTAACTTTAAACTGGAGTGTAATCACTTTCCACTTTTTATACAGATATACATTTTCTGTTGACAAATATTTTAGTGAAATGTTTAGTAAATCTAAAAATTGACAAAAAAGTGCACATAAACATTGTATCAGCTACCCCGCTCGACCACAAAACAGTTTTTAAACAAACTTGTTTTTCACCCTTCTCTGTTCTCGACCTCTGCATTGCCTAGTTTTGCAGTCAGTATGTGGCAGTCTGTACTTTTGCAGAACTTTAGGGCGTTCTTTCTTTGTGTCATTTAAAAATCAAAGATGTCTTTGGCTCCCTTTGCTCAGTCGCTGATGTGATGGCAGTTCTTAAGCCGTGTGACAGCCGCGCGGCAGACGGCGAGATCCCTCCTCAGGCTGTTGTCTTGTGCGTACACGGCGCATCACAACACCGAGGTGATGGGAGGCAGCACTGTTAGCACGGCCATCACGACTAATTCTGTTTGGTGTGACTATTTTAGCAGCCGACAGTAAACAACAGTTTGTGAGCGGAGAAGTAAAAGGAACAAAGTGACAAATGTCAGCCCCTCTCCTCTAAACTTAGCCTGAAGGTTAAAGTGTGAGCGTCTGCTGTGAAGACACTGCCCTATAGGGACTGTTCTGTCAACGCTAAACGCACAAACATACGTGCACTTACAACTTATTAACGTTGGACTTCTTTTGCTTAATCACACACATAAATGCTCTTCGTTTGCTTATTGACCCAGACGTGTCTTTAACATTATGCAGCTGTATCGCTATGTCTGAATAAAAAAAAAATCCATCTGCATTAAGATTTAAATGTTGTGCGTAATGTCTTTTTCAATTTCCAGAGGAAATGGGGAAGTTCATGCAAGAGGTCAAGGCTCTCGGATACACAGACAAGCCAGATTATGCAAAATTGCGAGGTATTTTGCAGCAAGGCCTGAAGACCATCGGGGTGACAGATGACAAAAAGCTGGACTTCACCATGTCAACTAACGGCATGGGCCCGCCCTCTGTCAAGGTGAGAGCCACCTTCAGTAGAACATCAAAAAACGACCTCTGTGGCACTCCCTCATTCCCGGCACATTGAAAATGCTCTGACAGTCCCTTTTTGAAGCCGGCGTAAAAAAAGAAGAAGCCAATTCAACATCCTATAATTTGTTTACCTTCTGAAAGCAGATTCAAATTTGAAAATGCTCACACACGATCCAAGACTAATTGCTCAGGTTAGTAGGAAATGCGGTCGAGCGCATTGATTTTCAAATACAATTAACGTGCAATGCTTTTAACGAACGTTTCTTGAGCTTGTATGGATTTTGCAGCCGACACACAAACATGCTCTTTGCTCACCTCATTTTAACATGTTATGATGTTAATATTTTTATGAATGGTTAAATATCTTAATTTTTAGTATTTATCTCTGCATTTCAAATGGAAGAACGTAATTTGACCTTAGTTTCTTATCCTATATTGCAGTCAACACCCTCAAGGTGTCAGCTGGTATGAGAGCTCTCTCTGAATACTTGCTCTGAAAAAAAGATCTCGTTAATCACTGAATCGTTTTATCTGGATTTCAAGCGATATGATCTTTAGAAGTGAATTCTGCAGCCGTCACGTGTATCGTGTGTAAAACAAACTGTCCGAGCCCGCAAAGATGCCCTTGATGGCATATACTTTGTGAAAATGATAAGACCGTGGCTTCATTCATGGGGTCCGGCACAAAGAACTCTTGGCAACAAAGCCGTCTGCATCTCAGGTTCTCTCCAGCGCCCGGGTGTTTATCCCAGTGGCCCCTCCTCTTCCTCCCACAGACAGGTCCTGAGTGCCTGTGTTTATTCCCTGCTAATGTATCACAAATTTGCTGACACGGTAACCTTGGAGTCGGCGCGGGCCGGCAATCAGCGAGCCGCACTTACAACGGGAGGGGACGGACTCTCCTCACTTCCCACAATGCAGTTTGCATATGGAAGGTGCCACCAGGGAGCTGGCCCATGCCAGCTGAGGGTTACCTGCCCACTGCCGTTATTGTATGTAATTATCGAGCCAATCTGTTCAGCTCAGCAGGGTCTGGATGGTAATCATGAGGCAGCAATTGGCAAAATGGAAGGGAAATGTGAGGGGGTGTGGGGGGGCTAGTAAGGATGATAGTTCAAGTCCGAGAGAGGGGCGAGCATTCATTATGCAGTCTGAGTGAAGAAAAGGGAGAATTTGATTGCTGTCGTTAAGTGCATCTTCTTCATAACCCCTGGTTCGGTTAGCACGATTTCTTTGAATTGAGGACTTGAGCTTCAATGCTAGAGTTTTCATTTGAGGAGGGGACAAAAAAACAAGGATTTTTGATTGATGAAATTGTTAAAATAGTTTAAGCCATAGTAAGTTTTTTTTTTTTTTTTTTTTTGGAGTTCTGTTTGGGTTTGGCAAGTTTTTGAAAGAAGTCTTTTATGCTCGCCTAGGCTGCATATATTTGGTAAAAATACAGTAAGTTGTGAAATATTTTTATATTATTACAAATACATTTTCTGTTTTAATATATTTTAATGTATAAAGTATTCCTGTGATGGGACAGCCGAATTTTCAGCACTATTTACTCTAGCCTTCAGTGTCACATGATCTTACAGAAATCATTCTGACATGATGATTTCTTACAGAAATCATCCCTTCTTAGTAGTCGATTTGATCTTCCTCCAAGGTTGCTGTTGGCAAGTGAATTGACCTCTGCTCTTCCATCTTTTCCATCCTCATGTTCGTATCTTTATTTTTGACGGGAAGACTTCCAAGCGAAAGAAAGCAGAGGAAAAAGGCCAGTCTGCTGATGAAACCGAAGACGCCCCTGCAAAGAAGAGGCGAGCTCCACAGAAAAAGGGTAAGCCATGTTAATAGACATTAGAGTAATCTCTAGCTTTACCCTTTTGCAATCTTCATCAAATTTAGTAACAATGGGAGTGATAAACACTTTAAAATGATCATGTAACCTGCTTAGACGTGAATGGAGCTAAAAAGGCGGCGACTCCTGCAAAGCGGGCGGCAAAAAAAGAAGCTCAGGCCTCCTCTGAGCCTGCGGTGAAGAAAAGCAGAGGAAGGCCCAAGAAGAACTCTTAATCCTCTTCGAACTCTAGTTCAAGTTGTTTCCTTTTTCTATCTTTTAAATTGTCTGGTCTGTGTTTGTTCCCTGTGGTTTCATTTTCTTAAACTTTAGCAGGGTGTTGGGCACACTCTCTCGCAACTGAAATGATAATAAATAAGAGGTAAAAAAAAAAACGACAGTGGCTTTGAGTTGTGAGTTATTTTCATTCCTTTGTAATGCCTTGAATAATCAAGCCTATGCGGATGAGGTCCAGAGGGGATTGCTTTGCCCCCGATAAGGAAATCCCTGAAGGAGCTCAGAGTCCCGACTCTTCCCCCGCCACATTTTCCCCTTGTTGTTGTGCTATGAAAGCCGCCATGCGGCTGGCACTTCGACATCTGTGGGAGAGGCGAGCTGGTCTTTGATACCTGCATCGAGGCAGGCGAACGTGTGGCAGACGCCACTGAGCCCGGTACGTGCTTTTGGAGAAGGGGGCTCTGCGCCTTTCTGCTCGGCTGCCATTTGATCAGGTGGAGACAAAAGACTAGCACTTGGGTCCTACTTTCCATGTCACTCTCACTTGAGTCTTTCTTAACTTCCTGTTCTCCGCTAGGAAATGGCTTCAAAGAGCTATCATTAAAAGTTAGTTGTGGCTGCACCACTTGTTATGCATTGTAACTTTATCGCTGGTTTTGATAAAGCACGGCAGCATTCGCAGGTGTATTTTTAGGTCCAAGTGTCATCTTGAATTGTTTGCTTTGTAATCGCAGTAAATTTGATATGACATTGAGGGGACAGGAATAATTTGATGAGGACAGGTTAGAATACATGAATAATAGATATGGCATGTATACAGGGTCGTGACTGGAAGAGCAGAGTTATGTTTTCCAGGAGTTTGAGGAAATGCACTTGTATTAAAACCAAACTCAGGCATGTATTCTTTTGGGGCACAAGAATGTTGCTGCCACAATCTAAGAAGGAATCAAAACAGATCTGCTGATTCAATTCTGATTCACAGGGTCTGATTTATATTTGATACTGATTTGATTTTCAATTTCTGATTTATTTGGTTAACTTTCAGTTAGAATGTCCATTTTGCATACAAATAGAAATGGTCATTCTGTTAATGCTGTAAATATGCCATTTCAGACTGATTCAAAGAGGTACATTTTGTTTTGAACTATTTTTTTTTTTGTGTGTGTGTGTTACTGAAAATAGGAATTAAGCAAAAGATAGACCCTTTTAGATAAGAGATTATGTTATTTTGGAATGAAGATCACAATTAATTAGAAATGAAGTGTAAAATGTGTTGTTAATTGGAAAAAAAGGATAGTTTTACCCAGCCCTAGATGAATCTGCAATTTTGAATTTGATTTCTCAATGCTTCAGCGTGTGAATTTAGATATGTAAAGTCAGAACACACAGTATTCAAAACCTGGGTAAGGCACGGTAAATTGAGGCACTTAAGTTTCCAAACCATTGCAACTTTTGTAGTTCCCATAAACCCTGACTTGTGTTTTCTTTCAACACTAAACTGATTGCAGTTGTCCATCATCATCTGCCCTAGGGCAGATTTAGCGATTATCTCTCATGTACACAAAAACCATTGTTGGTGCTGTTATACCCAATTTGCCCATTTCATAGCTCCTCTGAGGCCAATCTCCCACCTTTCGCCCTCTCTGGTTTCCTTGCTGAGGGGGGACCACGGCCTTGGTTGCCTTGTTAGCTCTAGTTAGACTCAGTTGGCCCAGCAAGAACAGTGAAGGGGGAAGATGTTTCTCTTAATGTTTGTTTTCAGAGCGGAACCGCGTGAGCCCTGAGCTGATGCTGGCATCGATTGTTCCAACAGTGAGGACTAAAGTGCACCCCTGTGCGCTCTCTTCCCCTTCCTCACCACTGACCTTCAGGGCGCACAGCCATTGCTCCTCAGTAGGGGGCAGTAGTACATAATGATTGCACAGCTGGGGGGAGGAGGGTGGGTGAGGCAAACCTTAAACACAACATTACCACCTGTACCTCACCGGAGGACATGCTGCTCTGATGGTCCTGACTGTGGCCATTGATTGACCTGTGTTTATATCCACTCTCTTAGTTTTTAAGAGTTTGTCTTGGGCTGTTGGGGTTTGCTGGAGGGCTGCATGCTGGAAAATAATTTCTCCTTACAGAGGTTTCACAGGCTCTCTGCTTTCCTCAATGTTTCGGAAGGGGGTTGGTTGTTATTAACGGTAACCAGTGTTCTTGTTTCGAAACTTTGGCTTTTATCGACTTGCTGCACTCATGGAACTTTGTGAATTAGGGAATGGCAAGATGGTTCTCCATTTATTACCCTAAAAGAGGGAAATTATTTGAATTTATTATTAGGGCTACTGTTCAAAAGTTTGTGGTCATTAAGATATTTGTATTTTTTAAAAGTTGTATTCAGCAAGGTGGCATTCACTTTATAAAAATGAGTTTATAATGTTATAAAAGATGCATTAAATAGTTGTTTAAACATTTTTTAATAAAATGATACAAAAAAAAGTATCAGTTTCCACAAAAATATTAAGCAGCACAAGTGATAGTAAATAGATAGTAGTATAGTATGCACACCATTAATAATAAGAAATGTTTCTTGAACAACCAATTATCATTTTAAAACGAGGATCATGTGGACTAGAGTAAATGACTACTGAAAATTCAGCTTTTCCATTAGAGAAAAAATATATACATTTAAAAAAATAAACTATACAAATAATGTTTTTCAAATATTTCACAATATTAATGTTTTAACTGGATAAAAAAATTAAAACCAAAGAAGCCTTGGTGAGCATAAGATACTTCAAAAATTGCCAACACCAAACTATTGAATGGGAGTGTTTTAGTGTTTTTACAGAAGCATGTAAATTATTCTGCTGACAGGAGATTTTACGAGCTTTTGACTGTGTGTTGGAATACAAACTACATTCATGCTTATTTTATATTTCTTGGGACATTGGCATTTTCTGTCCTACAATTCCAACATTCAAAGCCACAGGTTTGTATCAGAATAAGGGGAGGGGGTAGTTGGCAGTGATAGAATGTAAAAATGAAAGGTCTTCAATGATGGTTCCAAGCTAATTATAATCACATACTTCATTCTTTTTATTTTGTTGTGGTCAATTCTTGTCTGTTAGGGCATCTGATAAATTTATCCATCTCGTATCTTCATTTGTGTTTTGGGGGCATAAAAGAATAGATTCTTATGTGTGATTTATCAACACAACCACTTTTTTTTCATCTTTCTCTCCTCCTTAAGGTGAAATAAATTTCACTGTTATTGTGTTTTGTATTTATTCCCGTCCCCATGTGCCCCCATTCCAAAATACCCACACATGGAAAAAAAGAAATATACTGATTTTACATGGCAGAGAGAGATAGAGCTCTTTCATTGCAGTTATGGTACATTTGCTATTCTAGTTGTGTGTAAATATTAGAAAACAGCAGGTTCTCACATTCACCGAGGAAAGGCATAGCAATGGGGCTAAGACGCGCGTTCTTATCGGTATTGTATTCACACTACACCGTCCTCCTGCTGTTTCTAATCTGCCGCCGCCGCTGTGAGCAAAACTGGACAGGCATTTATTGTCCCAGCAGGGGTATGCTTGACAAGAGAATGTTAAACACTCCACTACCTGCAATTTTCAAAGGTGATACTACACATGATAAAATGTAGATACACGCTTAATTTTTGTTTTTGAGGAAACAGGAGAGAAACTAAAAGAAAACTGAACAGATTTTTCTCTTTCTTTTCCATATATGACCTGGATTTAGACAGTGTAGTGTGTGCTTTTACTCTTTGTAAGTTGAAAAGGCTGTGCCTCATAAGCCGTTGATCCTCCAGGCGAAAGACTTGTCCAAAACGAAAGTGCCAAGTCCAAGTCTGCGGGCCAAATTGCAATCTTTAATTCGATTTACCCTTGGCAGTGGCGTTGAGTGGGTTTAGTGGTCATCAAAAAGACATGTTCATCAGCGTGAGGCGAGCTCTCTCTCTACTCCGAACTGTCCGTGCTGTTCATCAGGGCTCTCCTCCCTCAACCTCTTCATGTCTCAGACAAGTGACGAGTGCCAAGCTCAGGCCCAATAAATGCTGGTGACATCGGCGAGAAAATAGAAGAGGCAGGAGACTTAATTAATGTGACATGGACACGTATCTCATGCCCACTGAAAGATTTCTAATGAAGTGCTGGTAGATGTTCTAATGAACTCTGAAGGGGTCCTAAAGAGGATGTTCAAACTTGCGTTCCACCCCGTTAGCCCGTGATCGCCGTCTCTCAGCGATATCAAAATCACACTGCTTAAAAAAAAAATACGCCTGGATGCTTGCTTGTGAGCTACGGGTCTTCGATTAGGTCTCACAATCTAATGGTCTTCACGCTGGGTGTGTCGTTTAAAGAAAACACATTTATCTAAGCAATTTATGGGACACTGAACATAACTGTATTAAGAGGGAGTCAATTATCTTTCTTGATAGATGGCTGCACTGATGGAAATGTTTGCTATGATACTATCAATGCTTTAAAGATCAGTGATAGGGTTTGGTTGCCCAGGTGCAATTCATGTGCTCAGTCCACCTTAGTAGTTTTGTCCTGGACTATCAGTGTTGCTACAGTAACTGTAGGCAACGTTCAGCAGGGAGTTGAGATCTTTCCTTGAACACAAGGCCCATGGGATGCCTGGGGCAAGGTATTGCATGTGGCTTATGGAACATGCTGTGCCTATTTAGGGTCAATCGTACACCACTATTGTGGTCATTTTGTGGCTGGATTTGTCATGGCATTTTAGGAACTCTCTTGAATGAATTGTACCCCCTTATCAAGAGTGCCATTTCAGTTGTTAAAATAAGAAAAAGGCTGCCTTAAAATCATTTTTTTTTTCTAGGATATGCTATCTATCTATCTTAATACTTATTAGGGCTAGCAATAGATTACATTTTTTCATTGTGGTTGATCGCCTTTTTCATCTTTTGTCGTGAACTTAAACATTCACTATTTATCTTGTTTAACATGTTAATTTTGTCATTATTTGGTATTTTAATGCAGTTTGTTGTTGTGGGAAGCAGGAAGCAGGAGCCAGCAAACGTTCACAGATTTGAATACAATAAATTAAACAAATACAAAACAAAACTTGCGTAAAAAGTTTTTAACAAAATAAAACACAACATAAAGTCAGGCCTGGCCTC